ATGCGCTGCTGAGCGCTGCTGAGCCATGGTGAATGCTGAGGGGGCAGCCGGCGTAGTGGGGGCTTGGGAGGTGCCCCCCTTCCCTGCCTCAGCCGAGTCGCTCGCCTGTCTGCTCACGTGTGCCTGCTAGTACAGTTCGAAGGGACCCCAGGGGTCATCTACTCCAGCCCCTGCACTGCTGGAATTGCAGCCAGCTGTTTATGGCAGAGGCTGGCATGGTGGTCAACGAAAGAGGTTTAAAGAAAGACTGTCTCAAGGCAAGTCTTGAAAAATGTAGTGATTATTGCCTGATTATCATCTTCCAAAGCAACTACTCTATTCTGATCTTGAACATGGAAAGCATAATGTTGGTGGTCGACAAAAGAGGTTTAAAGACTGTCTCAAAGCAAATTTTTAAAAATGTCTTATAAACACTGGCCTGTGAGCGCTCCAGTTGGAGAAAAGCCTTTACCAAAGGTGTCATGGACTTTGAAGACGCTCGAACTCAGGACGAAAGGGAGAAATGTGCTAAGAGGAAGGTACGCTTGGCAAATCCACACCGTGACCAACTCCCGCCAGGAAACCAATGTCCCCACTGTGGAAGGACGTGTGGATCCAGAATTGGCCTCCACAGTCACTTACGGACTCATTGTTAAAGCCGTGTTTACGGAAGACAATCTTACTCGGCTACAAGGGATGGCCAAAGAAGAAGAAGGATAGGGAGGAAAACTCAGCGCTGGCATCAGGAAGGCGGTCAGTGGCACGAGGCATCGGCTGGTCTTCCAAGCGCTGCGCTCTCAAGAAAGACTCCGCAGAGCCCTTGTGGCACCTGGAAGACATCTTCATTTGTTTGGGCACCAGCTTTTGTTGCCCCAGGTGCCCTTTTCTGCCTGCAAGCGGGCAGCAGGGAGCCGGTCCTTTGCCAGCCTCCACTGGCTCCAGCTCTGCTTCTCCGTGGCCCCTTCTCCTCATCTGTGCCTCGGATGAAGGAATTTGCCTAGCGATTCTCCAGCTGGGATTCCTGCATCACAGGGGGTTGGACTAGATGACTCTGGGGGCCCCTTCCAACCCCGCAATTGCTCCTAGACCCCCCTCGCTTCCAGGCCTCCCAGTGTGTGGGAGAGAAGGGCCCTCAGCCTGATCCTGCAATCTCTCCTTCTGTGTATGTTTGTGTGTGTTCTGTTCCTCCTGCTGCCTCTAAAAGCCACTTAATTTGGCGCCGAAGGAAGGCGCGGCGCAAAGCCCCCTGGGCCGCCCAATCCTGGAGTGTCAGTTTTGGGTCCCTCTCCGCCTCTCCGCGAATTACGAGTGACAAGGAAAATCAGGACAGATGCCGGAGAGCTCTGAGTGCGAGCGGGCGGCCCCAGCCGCAGCCCCGCCAGCGCAAATCAATCTTCATGATGCTCTTGAGAGGCACATTAGAGGCACTTGCTGCTCTCCGCCAGGTTGGGGGGGGGAAGGTGGGGCAGGATCCGCTCCTGGAATGGGGCCCCCTTCTTCTGGTTGTGATTGGCTGGAGGGCAGCTGCTGGGAGCCGGGGGCTTCCGATTCTGCTTGGTTTCTGAGTCTTGGTGGTTGGATGATGGGAGCTGGCCGGCCCGGGGGGGGGACGACGACACAAGCAGGTGGCTTCAGGGGCGTCCCGGGGGGGAGGTGGGGAGAGCCCCCAAGGTCTGTGGTGGGTAGCGGGGAGTGGGCAGGGGATGCGGTGAGCCCCTAATGCCACTGGGCAGGCGATTGGAGGCCGTATCTACATTTCGGGTCTTCTCAGCCTACGGGTACCGTCTGCTAACTTTGGCTGGACAGCATCCTCCTCCTTCCTCACCCAGGCCGTCGTTAAACTGCGGAACTCCCTCCCACTGGAAGCAGTGAGTGCCACGCAAGTGGATGGCTCTGAAAGAGGAGGAAAGAAATCCAGAGAGGGCTGTTGATGGTTTCCTAGCCAAGACGGCTCTGCCCTGCCCTCCACTGTCTCTCTGGATGTGAGTTTCTGGAAACGGCAGGAGCGGAAAGGGCTCTTGTCCTCGGATCCCGCTTGTGGGTTTCCTTTCATGGGCAGAAGAGGATGCTGGACTCAGTGGGCTTGATCCAGGCAGACTCCTCCTCCGAATGTTGTGATCTTATAAGCCGGCTTGAGGAGGGACTTTGAAATGCCAGAAATGAGACTCCCAGCCCCAGAAGGTGCGAGGGGTGGGGATGTCAGGAGTTCAGCCTACACCCGAGTAGGACCCTGGCAGAGACACATGCCCGAGTGGCATGTTCTCTCCCTCCTGGTCGTTTGTTCGGGAGCTCCAAAAGCTTTCTTCAGCCCGAACATCACAGCGACCGATGCCAAACGACAGCGGCACACTTAGGGATCCGCAGAGTGTTTGCAGTTTGCGTAACAAACCACAGCATTTTGGCTAATCTACTTTATTTACATCTAAACACACACGGAGCACTGCAACATGGCTCCCTCTCTCTAGAATCAGACAGGAAAGAGAAAAAGAACAAAGGACAATAGTCCCACTTCACGGAACACAGGAACACAAACATCCTGTCGCCGTCACTTCCCACTCTGTGGAGTCAAAACATACACCGTCATGCGACAGACAACAATCTCATGACTGCAATCACGGAGCAGGAATTCTAACAGGGGAGTTCCCTTTTGACCCAGAATCATTGGTGCGGAGGGAGGGAAGCAGTTGTCCCCCTCTGGCCTGTAGAGGAGCGTGGAGCTCATCTCTGCTGGCTCTGCTGGTCTCCCTTGTGGCCGGAGGGGGCTGGCTTGGCATGGGGGGGGGCAGGGGAGGTTTGAGGTGTGAGGTGGAGCACATGCTTGCCGACACACTATTCCAGGGCAAACCCTTCGTGGGGACTAGCAACGCATCATTTTTAAAAAATAAAAAACCCCTATCAGTAATTCAACTCGAATTCCAAAGCCCGGAGATGGGGAAGCCATGTGAGATTCGTGGGGGTCTCGGGGGTCATCTGGTCCAGCCCCTTGCAGTGTTAGGAATCTCGACTAATTTGAGCAGGGATGTTGTTGTTCTGCTGCTGCATCCGGAGGGCTACGGGTTCCAATCCTGCCTTTAAAGCTGCAGCTGTGTAATACCAGAATGCAGAGGGAATCGGAGGCTGGTGAGTGTGGCTTGGGTGCTGGGCTTGGTCTTGCATCTCTTCTCCCTTGGGTGCCCTCAGAGGGGCTGGTGGGGGCTGGTGGGCCCCTCCTGGCCAGCGGGTGCAGGCGCCAAGGGCCACAGAGCGCAGCCGACGTGTCAGCCTGTCCTGTCTCTCTGCTCCCGTTCTCCTCCTTCCTCCCGTCAGGAATATGGAAATAGCTGCCTGCGCTTTGAGCAGAGCAGCGCTTTGAAGTAGTAATTTACGGTAGTAATTTACTGTAAAACAAAGTCATTTGGAAAGCTTTTGGAAAGCATTTCACAAGCATTTAAAAAACGGAGTGATAACATGAATGCGGAAAGAGGAGCGTTGAGAGGCTCCTTTGAAAAGGAACGCGCTCAGCCCCAGCGGAGATCACGTGGCGGCTCTGGGGCTCCGCGGTTGGGGCTCCAGGTGCCGCTTCTCACGAGGAGACCCCAGGAGAAGCTCCGGCAGAGGCAAAGCGCCTCGGTTCCCCGCCATGTCTGGAGGTGGCTGCTCCAAAAGAGGGTTTCGCCACGCAGGGAACGAGCTGAGTGTGAATCTCTGGGGGGCAATGGGTCAGTGCGTCCGGCTGTGGACCACAAGGCTGTGTTGTGTTGTGTTGTGTTGCATTGCATTGGAAGAAGAAGAAGAAGAAGAAAATGATTTATATGCCACCCTCCCTGGCCAGAACCAGGCTCAGGGCAGCTAACATCAAAATACATTAGCTTTTGTGTGCATGCTCACTTCTTCAGATACACTGAAAGAGAAGTCACCAGACCCTTATATATAGTGAGAGGGTGGGGAGGGGTATTACTCAGAAGGGGGCTGGGAATGAGTGACTGGCTGATAGGTGTGGTTAAACTGTTGGCGGCTGTTAAGGACTTCAATTGGTCTTACAGGAAAAAAGCAAGGGGTGAGATGGTAGTAGGAGTACCCTCCTACTTCAGTGAATCTGAAGAAGTGGGCATGCACATGAAAGCTCATACCAAGAACAAACTTACAGTGGTGCCTCGCAAGACGAAATTAATCCATTCCGCGAGTCTCTTCGTCTTGCGGTTTTTTCGTCTTGCGAAGCACGGCTCTTAGCGGCTCTTAGCGGCTTAGTGGCTTTAAGAAAAAGGAAACAAACTCGCAAGAACTCGCAAGATGTTTCGTCTTGCGAAGCAAGCCCATAGGGAAATTCGTCTTGCGGAACGACTCAAAAAACGGAAAACCCTTTCGTCTAGCGAGTTTTTCGTCTTGCGAGGCATTCGTCTTGCGGGGCACCACTGTAGTTGCTCTCTAAGGTGCTACTGGTTGGAATTTTTTTATTTTGTTTTGACTACAGCAGACCAACATGGCTACCTACCTGTAATCAAAATACATAATACATTAAGACATAAAATTTAGGAATCGACTGAAATGCAGCTTAAAATTGGATTAAAATCAAAATCAGATCAGATGGTTACCTGCAAATTATAACTATAGGGGTTGGGAACCTTAAGTCCTCATGAGGCTCAGCTATGAGCCGGTGAGAAGAGTTAGAGAGGCCACTTATATGCAGGGTCTTGTAAAAGGAGAGGGGTCAGACTGAGCCTCGACCAAAGGCCAGGCGGAACAGCTCCGTCTTGCAGGCCCTGCGGAAAGATGTCAAGTCCCGCAGGGCCCTGGTCTCTTGCGACAGAGCCTTCCACCAGGCTGGGGCCAGGGCTGAAAAGGCCCTGGCTCTGGTTGAGGCCAGCCTAACCTCCTTGAGGCCCGGGACCTCCAAGATGTGCTGCCCACCCATGGATCTCAGGGTGGTTCAGAAAACAAAAACACACAATGTGTAACAAAAACAAGAGCAAGATCCCCGCCTCTCCCAAGCCCACGGCCGCCGGCCGGTTCTGACCTCTGGCTTTGCTCCTCTCCTCCTGCAGGTGATGCAGGTGCTGAACGCAGACGCCATCGTGGTGAAGCTCAACTCAGGCGACTACAAAACGGTCCACCTCTCCAGCATCCGCCCCCCTCGGCTGGAAGGCGAAGGCACACAGGTAGGCTGCGCCCAGAGAAGGGTTCGTGCGGGGGGGGGGGGGCTGCGTCTGTTGGGCGAGGGGAGGAGAGTGCCTGCGTCGGCTGGCTGAAAATCCACTTTCTTGCTTGTCGTCGCGTTTCCAGGAGAGCCTCTGTCTGAAGAGGGGCAGTTTTGGGGGGAGGAGGGACTGCCCACTGTTTGCCCCATTGCTTCCCGCCCCCCGATGTCTCAGTCTCTCCACTGCCAGGAGTGGGCCTAAGACCCGTGGACGTTTGTTCAAAGTGACCCCAGATCTCTGCTTTGGAAAGGGATGTGTGGCTGGCAGCGGAGTCTCTGCCAAGTCTTTCTGGATTATTGCTGTGGGGACCCTACAGTTTTGTAGAGCTTTTTGGGCTGGTCGCTCTCCGAGGAGCTCAGGGCGGTCACCAGTGGCAGCCGTGGCTTGTGAGCTCTGGGAATCCTTGATGGGGGTCTTCCGCTTGGCTTGGGGGGGTGGAGGGCAGCCTCCTTTTCCTCCTGAGAATGAAGCCTGGGTCCTCCATCTCCCCACCCCGTTGGGCTGAGAAAAGGCAGAGGGATGGTTGGCTGGGGGCCTCAAAACAGACTGCGCATGCCTGGACTTGTGGTGGACTTGTAAAAGGGCAAAAGAGTATTGGGAAGTGATATACAGTGGTACCTCCGGTTAAGAATGGAATCCGTCCAGGAGGCCCGGCCGTATCCCAAAAAATTTGTAACCGGAGGCTCCGTTCTGTGCATGCGCACAGCGCAACTGAGCACTTCTGTGCATGCGGCAAAGCCTGGAAGTATACACTTCTGGGTTTGCCGCATTTGCAACCCAAGGATTGCGTTACCTGAAAGTAATGTAACCCGAGGGTCCACTGTATAATGAATTGGGGGGGGGAAATGTTTAAAAGTACCTTTCCAAAAATAACCAGAGTCCTTTTTGTTGGGGATAATTCAGAGGGAAATTCCCAGGTGTCAGAAAAGACTATTTATGTCTGCTGCTACTGTGGCCCGTGTTTTGCTAGCCCCCAAATGGAAAACGAGTGAGGTCCCAAACAAGAATTGTGTTCATTTGAAAATGCTGGTAACATTGAGTGGAAGTAAGCTCTGATGGCTGTAACAATGGATTACTGAGCGGTTTAGTTTAGGTAAAATATTCAGGGGTGGATGGTACGCAAAATGAACCACGGAAAGAGAAGAAGACAAGTCATTGATTTAAGGCTGCATCTCACCTTGGCTGGGTTTCAACATAAGAGACCTAGAAATTGTGGGAGAGATGATTCTGCTACGCTGGCACTGAGTTAGTTGGATTTGGGTCCTCGCCTGCTTTTGGTCCCTAGGTTTCCTGTTTCACGAGTTTATTTGCGTTCTTCTGCCTAGAAAGCACCCCATGCCGTTTAAACTGAAAAACAGTAAAGGATAGAGAACCACCAAGCGCCTTGGAAATCAGTCCCTGAGTGTTGGGACCCCCGTCTTTCCCCAAATGCTTGTCTGGTGAGCTGCCCTGCCTGCCTCCAGCGGGAGAGAGGGGCTGGGGGGGGGTCTTCCTTGGCGGAGGCCGGTCTCTGCGCTGCCTCCCCCCCCCCACAGGCCATCGCTGTTCCTGGAGGCTCCATCACAAGTCGAGATTTGGTTATATTGGGAGATAAATTTTCTTCATAAAGGCTGCCTTTATTGGGCTGCGGAGTTCTGCTCGCCCCGGGGGGGGGGCTCCCCCTTCCTCTCCTGCCTCCGTGTGCCCCCCACCCAGATGTGCTCCATCCCTCCGGAGCGGATTTTGAAGGTTCAGCGGGGGGGGGGGGGCACGTGGAGGTGGGAGGAGAAAGCGAGAGTGGAAGCCTGTTTCGCCCCTTGTCTTTTCAGGCCCTTTGAATGGTTTCTTCTCGATTCGTTTATTGCTCTCCATGTCCTTGGCTGCCGCTGGGTGTTTATCGAGAGCTGCTTTGAATATTACCCAACATGGACAGATACTTCTGGTCCTTCCAGCCCCCCCCCCCCAGGCTGCATGCGACCCACAATTTTTTATTTTTAAAAGCTCCGTTGTTCACAGGGGGACCTTTTTAAAAGCCCCATTTAATGTGAGGATGGGCGGAGTGGGGGGGGAGTCTGGTTGTGGGGAGCGCAACGGGGGCCAAATGCCGGGAAAGGAGGGCAGGGTGGGATGAGGGAGGGGTGCGCATTGTGTGGGGGGTGTCTCTGCCCCCCAAGGCTCCCTCCCCACAAGGAGATGGAGCCTTGTGCTAGAAAAGGTCCTCTATCCCTCTCTGTTCCCTGGCAAGGAGCAGATGATCTCATTTGTGCAATTACGGTCCATTGTTCTCTTGCCCAGTGGCCAAAGCTGGGTGGTTCTCAAAGCAAATTACCCTTTTTAAAATAAAATTAAAAAATAGCAATTTTTCAGCGGGAGCCTGAGGCCCCTTGCAGGGTGTCGACTCTCTCATAGCAGGCGCATCACTGCCACCACTGGGCTCTCCTGTCGAGAGAGCCTTTGGCCTTTGCCATTGCCTCTCTCTGACCTCACAGGGCCCCAGACGTACAAATCACTCCAGTGTGCAAATATCACCGGAGCAAGTGAGTTTTGCACATGCAGATCAGCTGCTGCTTTTGGGAAGGAGCTCTCTGTCTCCGTCCCGCTTGGATAAGGAACCGGGAGGTTTCCAAGGGTCTCTCAGCAGCATACGCTCATCCCGTTGCCACGAGGCTTCCTTGGAAATTTGGTGCCGGGCGCTGCGCTGAGGTTCCTTCGCCTGCTTTTGTGGCTTGGGAGGGTGGGCGAAGGAGGCGCAGCGAGGAGCAGCCCCCGCAGTCGAGAGAGGAGGACGAGGATAATTGGAGGGCAGGAGCTATTTGAGCGTGTCTGGCGCTCGCTTGTGTTTTGGCCTGGAACGGATCGGGACATTAATTCCTGCAGGCTCCACTTGGAGTGGAAGGAGGGCTGGAGTTTCCTGCAAGGGGGGTTTTGCGGGTGGGGAACTGGAGGGAGGGTCTTCTAGACCTCAGTTGGTGTGCGCAGAGTTTCTCCATAAGAACATGAAGCGTGTTTGGAAAGGCTGTGTGTGTGGCAAAATCATGGAGGGGAGTCATTCCACACCAGAGGCCCCCTTGTGCTGGGGGCTGGTGTGGGGCTAAGCCCCCAAACCGTGGGGCATTGGGGGAGCGCAGCCGGGAGCCTTGGAAGTGCCTCAGCACCCGGTGAGCTCATCCGCTCTAAAGACAATGGATTTTTAGTGGGTTTTTCCCTAAAGGGAGAAAGCTTTGAAATGTTGCTGTGCATATATTGAAAGAGATTATGAAGCTCATATGTGAAGAGACAAAAGGTTTAAGAGATGGAGATAAGGAACGGTGCTGGCTGGGTTGCAGGAGGCGGGAGGCGATTAAGTCCGGGGAAGGCGGATGCCAGAGATGGTGGAGATCAGGCGGGAGGCCGGGATTAGGGGGGGCGAAGGTGAAGTGCCCTGCAAAGAGAGCGGCAGGAGTAGCGGGCGGGGGGGGGGGTAGCTGCCAGAAGAGGGCTGTGAATGCAGAGGGAGACAGTCAGGAGCCCAGCTGTGAACCACGAAAGGGAAGTATGCTTCCTCGCCATACTGGAAGGTGGGGGCAAGGCATTGGGTTGGCAAAAGAAGAGTTGAGAGGTGCCAAGGAATAATTTGGAGAGCGAGCAAGATCAGGCACCTCCTTTGGGGCCACCGCTGAGAAGGCCCCGCCCGGCCTGCTTGCCAGCCTAATGGATCCCCCTGCTGGACACGCCAGTGGGACCTCAGGCGTTCACCTTAGACTAGGGGCCAAGTCATGCAGGCGGTCATTAAGGCAGTCCTGTCCATAACCACTTGGGGTGTGAATGGGTCAGGCCAGCGCTTTCCCAGCCATGAGAAACTCCCCTGGATTTTCTGCACAAGAAACAAGGAAAGCTGCCAGGTGTCTGGAGAGAAGCAGTTCAGAGTGGGAACTGCGGCAAGGAGGACCTCACGTCCATAATCTCTTTAGCCTTTGGCCTCAGTCAGAAGGGGCCCCTGACGCCCCTTGCAGGGCGGGTCTATTCAGAAAGTGGGGGGGGGCTCTTGTTCATGGGAGCGTCTCAACCCCCTTCGTTCAGCCCGGACACTGAGGTCCAGCTCCGAGGGCCTTCTGGCGATTCCCTCGCTGCAAGAAGCCAAGTTACAGGGAACCAGGCAGAGGGCCTTCTTGGTGGTGGCACCTGCCCTGTGGAACGCCTTCCCATCAGATGTCAAAGAGAAAAACAACTGCCAGACTTTTAGAAGACATCTGAAGGCAGCCCTGTCTAGGGAAGCTTTTAATGTTTGATGCATTACTGTATTTTTTTTTATAAGATATTTATTAGCGTTTTACAAAAAACGTAGGTTTACAGAATAAAAAGAGTTAAAGCAAAGATTAACAAAATAAGAAGAAAACATAGAAGAGAAAAAGAAATAAAAAGAAAAATACAGGAATTACCAAAAAATACATAGAAAAAAAAGAAAATACAAAATACAAAAAACAAATAGCTAAGAAAAAATTTAAAAATAAATCCATTTTTCGATGTCTTTAAGCTCATTTGCTTATTTCCTTGACCTCCTCACACCTCCCCTTTTTGTATTCCCATTTACATAATCAATTCAGCAAATCCCTACCCTCTTTCATTTATCTTAACTCTATGTCTTAACCTATTATAACTATGTATTTTCATCCATTATCAATCCATATTTGCATATTCTTATTAACCTTGTTACCAATACCACTTATTTTCAATCCAACATCATTTTAACATTCATTAATTTTACAGTATTTCTGCAAATAGTCTTTAAATTTCTTCCAATCTTCTTCCACCAACTCTTCTCCCTGGTCTCGGATTCTGCCAGTCATTTCCGCCAATTCCATATAGTCCATCACCTTCATCTGCCACTCTTCCAGGGTGGGTAAATCTTGTGTCTTGTATTTTAATATTTTGTTGGAAGCCGCCCAGAGTGGCTGTGGAAGCCCAGCCAGATGGGCGGGGTATAAATAATAAATTATTATTAT